CAGAGTGGAGCATGGGTTTATGGCATCATGGTCAGAATAAAGCTGTCTTTCACACAGTTGGGTTCTCATTGATTTCTGCAACCTTCGCTGTGCATTTCTGGCCCAGTCCCAAGGCTCTGCTGCTGCTCCAGGCCTGAGCTTCTCTGTGCCAGTTCTGCCCCCTTTAATCATTTCTGACATATTTCTCACAGACATCTGTTCCAGCCTGCATCTCTGAACTTGACCTGAGAGTCTTTTATTTTTTGGCCATGCTTTGAGCATCCTGTCAGCCAGGTTCTCACGTCCTACCTGACAATTTCAGTACACTCCAGCTTTGGGGTTTTTCCTCATAGCCAGGTTCTCAGGTTAGTGTTAAGAGCGCCTACCAGTATGTCTTCCTGCTCACTGCTTGCCCCTTGCGCTCCATTTATCTGATTAAGTGAATGATTCAAATGTTAGTTGAAATGCATCAAAACCTATCTTAAGAACATAATTTGTTTCACACTGATGATGACTTAACCCTTGTACTAATGACAAGTGGCCTTTTGTTATAATTTAGTCAGGATTCACAAAAGTAATTCAGATGCTTAACTGTTTTTAAAAACTGTAGCTTCCAGTTTTCTGTAACCACTATTGGCTTCTTTAGAGGAGAATTTATGGTGAGTCAAAGCTGGCATCCCTCTAGTCCAGCATCACAAAAGTTCATTATATACTTCAGAAAAATCTGTAAGATGAGCAAGCACCTGCCTATCTCTTCTCCCTTAGTTGTTAATTCAGCTGACGATGTATCCTGTTACAGAGCAATGCTTCTCTGTCTTTAAAAGTACTTGGTTGGAAGCAGCAGGGAATGAGAAGAAAGAACTTCCTTTAGGTCTAAGCTTTAGTCAGGTGAAGCCAAAGTCTCTGCTTAAGCAGCTCAAGTCCATGTTCTCAGGAGCAGGGTGGGAGACCTGTGAGACTCTTGCCAAAAGGTATTGTGGATTCAGGAAATGTGCACAGATTCAAGTGGAGACCTGGAAGAGAGCAGTTGGGTGTTACTACATACATTAACCACAGTTGTAGCAAATCCTTGGCTGAAAATACATCAGAAACTGGAAAAGTGCCAGAGAAAAGTATCTTGTACCCTTTGTCAGCTCTTAGTCCCTAAACACTAGCTGGCCAAGGGCTCTGTGGGCCTGTTAGTTCCACAGGCTCCATCTTCTGTTATTGCAATTGTTATTGGAACAGTCCTTAAACTGTGGTGGGAAGGTTGCCAAGCTATGGAAGCTTCTTCCAAGACTTACCCCTTCATAGCTTGTCTGAAGGTACAGCTTAAAAACCTGCAGTTCCACCAAGGCTAGTGCTAGGTTGCTCCTTAACCCCCAATAGTCCTATCTGCAAATCATCTGGCTCTAGTCACAACCCTGTATTAAGTCTTCATCTTCGTTGTAGCCACATTTTTTTGGCTCCCAAGCTGTAATTTGGAACGTCTCTATCTTGTGTCTCTACTAATGTATCAGATCTGACACAAAACTTTTTTTAATAACCTGTATCACCTTATGAAAGGAAACTGAAATTCAGTGTAGGTGTGACCCAGTCGCCACTCTATCACCACACCAAATGCTGTAGGGGGAGACTTCTTGTTCCCGTACGCTCCTGCCTCCCTTTTTGTCCCAAATTGAAGAATCCTCCCTTCTGATCCAGCAGGCTTCTCAAAATCTTTACAGAGGGGGAAAACCCAAACATGTAGCTGTTCTTGGGGCTGCTGCTGGAGCCTGTTTCCCTCAGTGGGCAGTGAGGCCTCAAATGCAGCTGCTTTGGGGACTCGTTCGGGTTCCCTTGTATGGTGGAAGCAGGCCAGCAACGCCATATCTTAATTGCAGGGATAGCGGCTTAAGCAGAGCCAAAGAACAGGCTATG